CCCCCCCCCCCCCCCCCCCCCCCCCCCCCCCCTCTCTCTCTCTCTCTCTCTCTCTCTCTATATATATATATATATATATGAGTTGAACCTGAGTCTTCCCAATCCCACTTACAAGAAATGAGCAAAAGGCACCTATTTTTATAACTATCATATGCTAATAAATGTGTGTGTGTGTGTGTGTGTGTGTGTGTATGTATTTGTGTAAATCTATAAATAATTTATCAAAATACATTGCATTCACAATAGGACAGAAAGAGTAATCTGTGTGCCTGCTGGCAATCATTTACTAACTCCTCTACTGATGGGCAACTTTAAAGCCCTGCTTTCTCTTCTTGCAAATATAGGATGTCTTTAAATAAAGAACTATCATCAATGAAGTTGGACACATAACTCTACTAGGAACCAACAATGAGTTGATGAATTTATTATTTATTATTCCACCAGTCTTGTATTTAAAAGGTAGAAGCTAAAATAAACACCTGGCACTGTAATGTTTTACTATATCTGAAACATATTCATATATTGGTGATGAAAGGACATACAGTATGTTCTCTAGTGAACTTCATTTGCTCAGTTATTTCTTCTGAGATTTTCTGTCTACATCATAATAGATTTTGTTTCATTCCATCCAGTTATTTTAAAATAATTATTAATTGCTATTAGATTGGTTGGAAAAGATAGAACCAGGAAAGTCAGGTTCTATCTAAAATTCTGTGACTTTAACCAAGTTTTCAGAATTTTTTAAAAATTAAATCATTTGAAAAATATATTTTACACAGATGCATCATCTTTGTTAAACAGCTTTTAAAGAATCTCAGACAGTAGAACAATAACCTTTAATGGGGCTGTGCAAAGCATTAAAAAGGGGCTCTTCACAAGATGCACTGACAGGAAAGAAACACCCTTTCTTGAAGTGTTATAATACCCATGTCCTTCGGAATGCTTGGCATAGCTGCTTCAAAGACTTTTTCTAATTGCATTCACACATAATAACTTGTTGTCTATGCATGTGCACAGGGTTTGTAG